TAACCTGGAGATCAACTCTTTCCAGCAGCCTTTACATTCTGTGAAGCTCATCGCTGTCTTGTGCTGGTCAGAAAACATTTGGCAGCCTCAGCTTGTCCGGCCTTGTTAGCAAGTTGTCTGTAGTCTTTTTTGTTTTGTTTTTGTTTTTAACGAGGTACAGTGACTCTCTGCCACACGTGTTCGTGAAGGTGAGGCTGAATATATGGAGCTACGACGTCATTGTTTCAAAAACACCCGCTCGCCTGCACACACTGAAACATGAAAACTGTGCTTTGAAATGTAGTCACTCCAGTCCCGCATTTTCAAAAACAATCGTTTCTGGTCTTCCCAAAACTGTGAATCCATGCAGAGGCGCAGCCTAAACAAAACACCTTTGGATACACTTAATCTTGGCTCCATGTGGATTGTGCCGTAGTTTTTCGTTCCCATGAAAACAAACTCGAACATAGAAATAATTTCGAAAAAATACACACAAAAAATTTAAGTTTTCCCCATGACTACTTTGCAAGTCATGGAAGCTTCCTTTTTCCAAATACTGTTGACATACGGAGTGGAGGAGTCTTAAAGTTTTTCTGTTTAATTAAAGTAAACATGCCTGTGTGTGTCTTGGCCCTGAGCCTCAGAGTTGTACACAAAGAGTTTATCAGCGTACAACCACCAAGCAGAACTCTGTTGCCATGCCACCTCTCAGTCGCGCTCAATCGTTTTAAGGTCTATAAAAAGATGTGGGTATCCTGGGAGACGTGAATCTTGCCTCAGCTTTCACTCACTGTTTTTTTTTTTTGTTGTTGTTTTTATTTTCTCCAGTCGTTGCTTTTTCGTCTCACAACACTTCGTCCTTCTGCCTCTCCTCACCATTCTTTCTTTCACCTCTTAACTTATATACCCCCTCCACCTGAGTTTCCTTTCTTTCACCTTTTTCCGTCTCAGGCTCCTCTCCTTTATTGTCTTCAAAATGCCCCAGCAGTGATGATGATGAAGGTGCACAATATCAGGGGAAATCTGTGCGCAGTGTGTGTTGCCTTGTCTCATTTATCTTCCTGCGCCTCGCTTTGGTTTAGTGGAGCGCAGCACGGCTACTCTCATTGGCTTTCAGTTACTGTGATACCTGCGCTGAATGTGTCCTATCTCAAGATGATTAGTGCAGCATGTTGCATAGGTGGAAGAAAGAAGTCCTGATTATATATATATACATGTATTAATTTATCAACTTTACAGTGAAAACGTGCTTCAAGCTTTAATATGAAAAGTTAACCTGAGTAAACGCACAAGGCCTTAAATATGCCAACCAATCTGTGGAATGTGGAAGCGCAACTGTCTCTAAACCTAATAACTGCTTCTTAACCCTACCTACGTGGTTGCAGCAAATACCATTAAGCATTTGTGATGATTTACACATGAGGATTTTTCATGTGTTGAGAAATATTCACCCACTCTTTATTGCTTTAACTGAATTCAGAAACATTTGAAGGTTTTCCCGACGTGAACGGCCTGTTCCAGACCATGACACAGTATCTCCATCGGATTTAACCCCAGACTGGACGGTGTGCTTTTGATCAGAGTTCACTTCATAACAAAAGTCAACTTGAAGCTGAAGGTCAGACATTAGACGATCTACTACTGGAGATCGCCGCCCTGCTACTGCTTGAGAGGCCTTTTCACGGTTCCATCAACTACAGCATGTCGTCCTGGTCCAGAAGCAAATCGCCCCCAGATGTTCACATTAATATCACCACCATTGTTTGACTGTCCCTTTCTAAAACGCTGTGTTAGATTACCCCTCTAACAAGGTTCACACCTTCAAAAAAACTCATCAGGATGTATTTGAAGAAAATATAAGAAATAGCTTTTCAGTCTTTTTGTGTGTGTGTGTTTTTTTAGTGAACCTTTTTTCTGAAATTCTAATTAGTAACCCATGGCTTTTTGTTTTCTCGGTGCATAAATATGAGGTGGCACAGAGAACCTTTTCTATTCTGCACAGGACTGTACAAAGACCAGACCTTGACCCTCGCAGAGCGAGCAGGGAGTAAGAAAAATCTCCAAAGCTCCCTGTTACAGAAATGCAGTGCAGTGGCATTTCGGGGTCACCAAGTCGCCATAACAATCATGAAGCAATGTGAACAAAAGCATTTAGGTATAAATTCAGCTTTTTTTCCACAATCTGTCTCCCTCATAAACAGTTTGCCAACTTTAGGTTTACATTAAATACAGCGTACTTGCCGCCAACTTCTCTTCTCATTTTGGCCCTTTCTACTTCCAGTTCCAAGCTGTAAACAAACGATCTCATACAAGTATAATTAAGACATGGCAAATCAGCTTTATGTTTGTTTTTCATGTAGCTATCCATCCTTTTTTACAGTAATCGGACTAGAAATGGGCAAAGACTGCAAGGATGGTAATTAAACGCCAGAAAGTGAGGAATAATGGCTTCCTCTCGATCACTAGCCCCCAAATCAGTTGATTTTTTATTTTTATTTTAGTTGGATATTTTCATAAATTACAGAGATAAAAATGTCTTTAAAATTGAACATTCATAAAATATAGCAAAACAAAACCCCTGCTTCAAAGAAACAATGTCTGAGTAACTGTCTGATACAGATATTACGTATTTTTCGTCGCATACCTACATTTCCTCACATCTGAGTAAATCATTTAAAATCTAATTGGTCTGTATGACAGAAAATTGTGAGTTGTCATCCTGACGAGACCACTTTTTACCTGTAGATTGATTTTTCTGTTGTGTGGCCAAGGCCATCACAGTATTGTTGAATACATGCAAGTCCTGGTAGTGACACTGAGCAAGAAAAGTCCCTACTTGTGCAATTAAACGCTTTTTGATTTTGGTTTAAAAATCTACATACAGACAATTTTACTTCTTTGAAGGATTACCTGAAAACCCTGTTTGTGTTCCTCATCACAAACTGGTTTGATAAAGGTTTGGGATTGTGATTCTTTACCATGAGTTCAAATAAAGGTATCTGGCTAAATGCTAACGTATACCAAAACCCTGGATTGAAAATGTCTCTGTTTGAGATTGTTACAAAACGTTGCGTCACAAAACTATAAAGGTGCCGTTTTCCAGCAGAGTGGAGCCGGTTCCTTCTGTCGTCTGCTGTGAACGGGCAGTTTGCCCTCAGAACAAAGATCTGACCCCAGGGATTCTCAGCTTAAGACATACAGAGAGCTCATTCTGTACTGTCCTACTTTGCTGATGTTTCACACACCGAGTTCTTCTTCCATTTGCTCTCAGTTTGAATGAATTTCTTCCCCGTAGAAGACGGCGTACAAGATGTACTCTCCGGCTACAGACTGTGATTAGCTATTTAAAGTTTAGAGACTGTTTAAATCAGATTCTTGTCGTAGGAGGAATTTTAAGTATGAGGGTTCTTTTTCTTTCTTTTTTTTTTTTTTATTTGTGACAATACATCTCATTTTACCCAGCCAAGCAAAAAGAATTACTCATATGCTGCTCAGCAGCTGAGGAATGCTGCTTCCTCCTCTCTCTAGATTCAGTCAGCAAAGCTTGCTGACACTGACTGTGCCACCGGGGGTTTCCTAATTACCAGTTTTCAGCAGTTTCAGTCTCTCCTTCGCTCCCCTTTTTACCTGCAATGCTGCCGCTCCGTGCTAAGGTTTCGTTACTCACTGGCTTCCCACATTCTGAGAGGCAGCAGTGAAGTTGAAAGGCTGCACTGCGTCATTGTTTGCGTCAGCGGCGGAGAAGCAAACATCCATCACATCTTGTACATGCCCGTAGATGTAGCCTGTCTAAACTTTTGCATTTGCGATTCTTCTTATGTACGTGTTGTAAGGAGGTGATCTCTGTGGCAGGAAGGGGGGGAGTTGTGCGCCATGGCAACAGCTTCTGCTGAAGTTCACTTGGCAATGCCTTTCGTTAAAAATATCAAGCTGGGGTACATTCACCGATTAGGCAATGAGAATAGCTAGTGTCTTTTTAAAATATTAATATCCCTTGAACTCTTTTATGTTTTTTTTACTTCACAGTCACAAACTTTCATTTATTTTACTTATTTAGAACAGTGCGTAGTTGTAAATTCAAAGAAAAGCAATATATGGTTTAAGATTTCGTTTCTCAAATAACTTCTAGAAATGATATATGCGTTTATATCCAGTCCTTATGAGTCAATATTGACAAAAACTCTTCACTGTAATTACAGTAGCAATGTCCTTTGAGACTTGAGGCTGGTTAAATGTTTAAAGTCATCGAACTCCTGGAAGGTGAACATTCAGATTCACAACTTTTGCAGGTTTTCTTGTTGGGAAAAACCAGCTTCACTGTCCTTGCAGGAGAGGAGCATCCTCGCATTATGATGCTGATGGTAGTTTCAGGGCGATGTGCAGTGTTGGTCTGCCTGTACACAGTGTCGTACATGTTGGCCAAAAGGAATTTCTAATGGCTTTCTGTCAAAAATTGCTTTCTTCTGTCATGTCAGCTTACCTGGATGGCCATGTCTTGGTTAGTTTGTAGTTAAATCGTACGGTTTCCATTCTAAGATGGTGGCGTAAAGGGAGTCCTGTGAGATGTTCAAAGCGTGTCGGAGTAGATTTTACCTGAATACAAAGAAATGCTACAGTTTTCAGATGTTCATTTGTAAAATATTTTAGAGAAGATGTAGCATTAGCCTCCCAACTCACATTTATGAACTACTAAGAGTTGGTCTATCACAAATCCTAATAAACTAATCAAAGTTAGCTATTTGTAAAATGGCAAAAGAGAAAAAAGTTCAAAGTTTGTTACCGGTTTTGCAATCTACTGTATGTTTGGTAAGGAGGTGATCTTTTGTAGCGAATATAGATTGTCATGGCAACATGTCTGGCTGTACTCTACCAGCGCTGGGCTTATTTACAAGGCAAAGAATGAAAATCCTTCCGAAAGACAACAATGACTTCCTCTCATGAATGAATTGTCTACATGGGACATGTTATGTTTTTAACATTAATGTTGAAGGATAATCATGTTGTTGTTTTCTCTTCGCCAGATCCCACATCTCGCTGAAGGTGTTCGTATTCATGGTGAGAAGGTTACCGAGGCGCTGAGGCCCTTCCACGATCGCATGGAGGCTTGCTTCAAACAGCTGCGAGAGAAGGTGGAGAAACAGTATGGTGTTAGGAGTCTGGTAAGACTTTTTTTTTTTTTTTTTTTATTCCGTCCTTGATTTCTGTCCTTTCATGAATAACAATTTGCTGCTCAGCATGCTAGTTTTCGCTCCTTTCATGTCAACTGTTAGATTGAAAATATTGAAAAAGTTTTAAAGTTCATGTTGGAAAGACTTAAAAGTCAAAGCAGGGAAAGGTTAAAGTAGTTCAAACTGAGCAGGTTTTAGCTTGTAAACTTGAGCGCAAAATGTAATGCAATAAGTGACTTTATTCCACCACAAATTGAGGCTAAAACCAGTGATTTCCCCGGCAAAGCAATTGAGTTTTCAGAGCAACAGAGGCATTTTATCTGTCTTGTAATAGAGGTGGGCCTCGCAAAGATGACCCCAGTATGTGCATTTGACATGAACTCAGTTTGTGAATTCATAGCTCAAGCCCACTTCAGTTATGCAGCAAGATGGACAGGTTAAAAAAATTACAGATAGAGAGTTTTTTAAGTGGCCTAGTCAAAGTCCAGACTGGTTGAGATGTTCTTCAAACAGGCTATTTATCAAAAGCATTTTTTTTCTTATTCTGATTGTTTTAATATTATTTTTAGATAAAAGTTTAAAAGAAATCCAGTGTGTTTCAGTTGAACACTTGATAACAGTTCTTGCCATCAAAGGTGTAACAACCAACTATTAGGTTTAGGGACAATTACTTTGGCTTGGATCAATTTCTTTTTACCTATATGAATTAAATCCTTATTAAATTAAGATATCTTTGTCTGATATAAAAATTTTCTTGGATATTTTTCTTTTGCATCTCCCATCTTTGCCATTTCAGCCTTGGCATATTGAGAAGATGATTGCACGTGCCAGGACAGATTTGCTCTACAAAAAATTTTATTTTAAGATGGCATCCTAATTGAGTGATTGATTCTATTAAATCCAGAATTCATCCAGCATTAAAAAAGGCAGGCTAAATTGGTGTAATAATAACCTATTATTGTATGACTTTCAACCATTTATTATACAGTTTGGAGTTTCAACAAAAACAAAAACCTCTCAAGGCATCTTCAAAGAGTAAATACTTTGCCTATTTTAATATGAAACGGTTAGAATTATGGTAGACAAGCCCGATGATGGGCACACAGATGAATTCACAGTTCAGCAGGCTTTTCTTTTTTTCTTTTTTTTTTCAGGGAAAATGCAAGGTTGCTTCCGTGATTGGTATCAGCCTGGCTATTTATTTGATGAAAAAAAAAAAAAAAACAGAAACTCGTTGCTGTCAAGCCAATAGTTTTTCTCTGCAGGTCCAAGGTTAATTCAACAGAACGATATCAGACCTAATTCTGCACACTCTGCTTTGAAAAAACTGGCTGCAGTCGAGTTTTTTGTTTTCTGAAAATGTACGATGAATCACGAACGGGAGGATGGGGTAACAAAGATCAAGGCATGTTGAAAAAATCTTTATGGATACAGATTCCTCTTGCGGATCTTTTAGCAACATGGTAAATAGAGTAAAACTAAGGTTTTGCTGAAATTTTCCCACAGAAAAAGTTTTACAGAAATCCACATTAAAATCCAGATGTCAGAACACTATAAAATATATAGTCTGCACTGTGAATCAAATAGGGATTTTACAACAATTTCATGAAGCAGTCCAACAATTTTAAGACTAAGCGACCAGGCTGTGATGGTATTTTACACCAGCTGGTAAAATTTTAATCACAAAACTTGACAAGCACATGACTTAGATTTTCCTTTTCAGTAAAGAGTTTTATATCCCACCTATGCCTTTTTATTTTTTTTTTTTGCTGATGTCAGCTTTCTGAAGGAGGTTGCTGCTGTGGGACTGCTTCCCACTTCTTCTTCCTCTTCTTCTTCTTCCTCTTCTTCCTCTTCTTCTTTTTCACGGCTCTAATTGTTGCTTGGTCAAGCATTTCCTTCTATCCTGCCAGAGGTAAAGAGTTGCTCCCTACGTTAAAAGGAAAGGGCGGCAACCTTTCAAATGAGAGAAAAAGCCATCACTTCACAGAAATTGACAACAAGGCCAGTCCGTTAGATATGTGACTGTCTGTCATGAAAGTCTTTTCAAGGCTGTGGGTTTAATTATTCTACCCACAAGTTCCAGATAAAATTAAGAATGCCTCAGAAGTTTTTGCTCTCCCCTGCCTTCGGGCGATGATGTTGCTGCTGTTGAAAAAGAAATAAAACTGTCAAATGTATAGTTTGTTTGATGAACCAACTATATTGAATAGCCTAAATAGGATGTTTTGGTACCAAAAATAAACTTTTTCTCCATATTGATTTGCAAACCAGTGCCTAAACTACGACTTGCGAGTTAGCTATGTAGCCAATTAGCTACCTAATTGGCTACTCTCACTATAATATCTTAAGTTAATTTGGTAACTTAATATATCTCACCATAATAAAAAAAAATGTTATTTTCATAAATAATAGTTTGTTTAGTCAGTACTAATTAGCTCAGTGTAGAAACTTCTGTATTACTATACTGACAAGTTGCTAAGCTAGCTGTACTTGCAAATTAGCTGCCTACCTAGCTTACCGGTGCTAACTGTGGTAAAACAGTGATGTCAGGGTTAGGGTTAGCCTTTAGGACTCCAACCGTAAAGGGGACGTGAACATCCCCCCTTCCTTTAAGATGTCTTTCTTTAAAAAAAATCTTTGTAAACACAGGTTGATTTTTTTTTTTAGTTAATGTCATAAAATAAATAAAAATAACTTAACCGATGCAAATTAATCGAAAGATCATGAATCCCTTCTTACTCCCCTAATCATATACAGTAAATTCTGGAGATTTTTATAACCCTGATAATCAGCGGCAAATTATTTCAACAGTGGAAGTAAAATTTTGCTTTTGTATGTTTCATCAAAGCAGTAGTAATTGTATTTATTTATTTTAAATATAGAGCCAACTTCTACTAGCTCCAGCTGAATTCATGTTGAAGGCTTTGACAATAAGTGTTGCCTGTGTGACATTAATTATGAAGACAAGTGATTTGACTGCAACACGTCTAGAAACTCAAGGCATTTCAAAACTTCTATTGTAAATCTTGTTTTGTTTTCTCCTCTGTGGCGCTAGCCGTCAGGTGACGAGCGACGCGGCCCTCGTCCTCCCTCCATGGTGCGCTCCTTCACCATGCCCTCCTCCCAGAGGCCGCTGTCCGTCGCTTCAGTCACCTCTATTTCCTCTGACAACTCCCCGTCCAGGCCTGGATCTGATGGGTAAATCCATCATTCACTCTTTCTCCGGATGTAAATTATCATTAAATGTGACTTTTATTTGTTTACCAGATAATGGTTGGTTGTTAGATCTAACAGTGCAATTTTTTTAGGTTTGTTCAACTTCCGTATTTTGTTGATAGTACTTTGTTGCCGCACCTGTTCATCATAAACAGGTGCAACAGTTAAACTCAAAAAGAGAAGCTCATTTGTAGATTGTCTACACTTGATGAAATATGTTTACAGATGTATTTTACTGCACTTTGGAAGCACAAACTGCAGTTTGTCGGAAGATTATAACATAATACAAAGCCAAAAAAAATTGTCCTTTAAGACAAAAAAGCAACACAAACATGGAGAGCAATTACTGGCTTGATTATTGTCCAGCAGATGGTCAGCGATTGTCTCCACACAGGATAAAACCTCTTAATTGTCACCCCTAAAAATGGTTACATATTATCCAGTGGCTGTTTGAGGACAATGGTGTCCTCATGACCGTTAAGTCACAAAAAAGGTCTCTCCTGAAGCTGGCTGCTCAGACAGCTGTATCCAAGCATATTAGTGGTAAATCGAATAGAAGAAAAAAGTATGGCAGATGCCAAGGGAGCACAATAAAAGCAACCTGGCCTTTCTTAATACCACTGCTGTGTTACACCACTCTGATGCAGTTATCCTTGCAAAAGGAGCTCCACCATCAGACGAACATTTCTGTTTTAAAAATGTTTTTTACACTATGAATTATTTAATATGTGTGTTTCTGAACATCTGATTTTAGTGTTTTTGTGAGCTCATCATTTTTTGAGCAGTTTTGTCGATATTCTAATTTACTCACCTGCCCCGGCTGCTTCCTGACAGAATACAACATTCAGCCGTTCTCGTTCACAACCTGTTTGAACCCATTGGGCGTATTGTCTTTCCTTCAGCTTTGCCTTGGAGCCCCTTCTACCAAAGAAGCTGCACACAAAGTCTCAGGACAAATTGGACCGGGACGAACCAGAAAGGGACCGCAAAGAGAGGAAGAAGGAGAAGAGGAACAGCAAGCACCAAGAGATTTTCGATAAAGAACTCAAGACAGCAGACATTCAACTGCAGCAACCCGAAGCTGTCATACTCTCAGAGACGGTAGTGTTCATTATGTTTTCTGAGTTGGTTATTATTCTATAATTTGTGACTCTTTTTTTACCTTTCCCAGGATTATTTAGTCATCCTTTCTGCCTCTTTGATAAATGTACGGTTAAAAAAATTGATTCCTAGCTGTATTTGTCTTTTTTTCTACCCTTTCTATCTCCTCTGTTCACATTCCGCCTCACCACTGCTCTGTCTATTACAGCAAAGAGGTGTGAATGTACTCTTTATGTCCAGAGGGGATACTCCCAGGCTAACAGCACAGAGCTAAGAGAAGTAATGTAGCTATTTTATGCCTAAAGGGTCAAGATCAGAGTTCCACGTAATAACCGTTTATTTATGTTTATATAGTTGGAACTGATATATTTAACGCTATCATCAATATAGTTCATGTTGTTTGTGTACAAAATTACATGCTGCATTTTCCAGTGTCTCCCTCATAGCCGGGTGTTTGAATTTCACCGATTACGAAGTTATTTGTTAATGTCGCCTGCAGAGCGGAGTAGCCCCAAGGACATTTCTTTTCATATTCAAATTCGAGCCACAATAAAGTAGGGAAAACGCACTCATGCATGCAGATAATTGTTAGTAACCACAAATAACACCCTCCAAACCTACAAGCGCATTTATCTAAATGGGTTTTTCCTCTAGGAATACAAATAGTTGCTTTAATATGTGTGTGGAATGACACAACCACCCCAGAGGAGTTGTGACGCCACATTTCTGCAGTGATATTTCATCCGAGTCCAGGAAAATGTGCTTTAAGTGCCGCTTTATTGACTTGAATGGATTTGGTTTTTCAGTTTCGGCGCACAGTAAAGACTTAATCTTTCATCTTTCTCCACCACTGACCTGACAGATCAGCCCCCTGCGGCCTCAGAGACCAAAGAGTCAAGTTCTCAACCAGATGGCTGGCGATCGCCGTCTTTCTGTCTCACCGGGACCTCCTTCTTCCAACTCCTTACCTGGCCCCCCACCCATTACACCGAGGAACAAATCCACCTTTAGCCTGAACGCTGTTTCAAGTAAGAGCAGTCTCCACTCTGTTCTTTTGATCTTCTCCGCAGTTTAAGCAGTACTTCCCCTCCCCCACTTGTTTCTGAAAGCTGTTAGCTTTGTCTGTCAAGATCAGAATCAAGAAATTTTTTCCACTGTTGACAAAAATCCTAAAATTCTGTATTACCACAGTGTATAGCTTACTTTACTTGTAGAGCAAATCGGAAATATACTGATCACAGATCTGACTGTTAAAATAATGGCAACAACTCAACAAGCACAACACATAAAAATAGTTATGGAATAAAAAATTTAAATAGTTATAACATCAGAAATGTATTTACAACAACTTTAATACTTCTAGAGGGTAAGCATATACAGTTCAGTGTAACCGTAGTTAAAGAAATTAATCAGAAATTATTTTATATTTTGTGGTGAATGCAGTTTGTAGCCATTAGGCTGTGATCATTTTTATGTTTTGACTGTTTAATTAAAACGTGTCCACATTTTGCTCTTACTCATTTCCTCCAATTTAACTCTTAAAGCTGCTGTCAAAATCCAACTAACTGTCATTTTAGTGGTTACAAAATATATAATTTTTTTTAATGCAATGCTTTACATGAAAAAAAGAATTTGATGTCCTTAAAGAAAGTATCACTAATGTCTCTGCTTAGTTCAGCCTGAAATAAAATGAGTTTATAATTAAAGCATGTTTAACTTTTATCAGTGTGTGAGAAATGTAATTATAGAAAAAATGTGTTTTATTAAAGAAAAAGCATTGCATCTTCTTCTAATAGTGTTTTTTAGATGATTAGTTAGTTTTTACAGAAACTAAGACATGTTTTAGCTTTGTATTTGATAGGTTATTTAATTTTGGTGTTTTCTAATGACGTGAGCATTTGAATGTGTGTGTGAATGGGTGAATGACTGATGGTTGTGTAAATCCCTTTGGAGTCTTCTGACATGATGAAGCTCAGGGCATTAAAGAAAGCTTTTTGTTTCACAGCTTCCAATTTGTGAACAAAGACATTTTATATTTTTGCATTAAGTTCACCTTAGATGTGGTGGTGCTTGAAAACTTCATTACTTAGATTAGTGTAACCTGGAACTAATTATTCTACACTAAGCACAGATTAATTAACACATAGTTTTGTTCAAATCTCACTTTTTGTGAACTGAAGTATTCTGTGTCTTGTTGTCCGGGGAGCTGGATGCATTGTAAAGCCCCTAGCAGTCGGTCTCAGTCTTTTAATGTCTTTTGGCTGAGAGCCCTGATCTTACAGAGACCCTCATGAATTTTGTTGACGAATGTCTGCTGATGTTGGCCTTTTTTCTCTCAGGTCTGGAGCTGAACGGGATGGGCTGCAACGACAAGGGGGAGGCCCCTCCTCCCCTGCCGTTGAAAAGCAGCACAGGAGATTACGGCAACCTGCTAGATAATCAAGACTTGACGAGTCCCTCGACTCCTCCCCCGCCCCCACCGCATCAAAGAGTAGGTGTTTTAATTGGGGCCCAGCGTAACTCCCTAATGATGCATGGCACTTGGACTGAAACGAACGTCCGAAGCTCACACTTGACATTTAGTTCAACCTCCACCATAACTCCTTTACCGTCCACCCCACCATTCATCTGTTCTTGCATGTCCACATGCAGGTTTTCACAGTTTAATTTAGGGGGGGTGTTTCCTCCGGTTTTCTGCAATATGTGCCACAGAAGAGTGTAGGCGTTAGTCAGTTAGCTGCCCGTCTGCCCCGCTGTTATTTATGCTGGTCCTGCAAGAAGGCCCGGTGCTCATCCGTGATTGATTGGATGATTACTTTACCTCTCCCATTCATCAGAAGCTCTCCAGCTGTTAATCAGTGACTCATCTCTCCACACTTGCTGACTTCTACTCAAGCCGTCTTCTCGCCTGGCCTGGCCTGGCTGTTAACTAATCTTATTTATCCAGTGTCGCGGCCCGTGGACAGGTAGTAAAACTGAGCACTGGCACACGATGTGGCAGAAGACTGACACTAACGCAGAGAGAGCACCTGTTTCTGAGAGGTTAGTGACTGCCCTTCTTCATTTCCAGGCTTTTATGGAGGGAGAGGCGGTGCTATCGAGGAGCATCACTCCTCATCTGCTGTTAAAGGCAAGAGGCCTGCTTAACCAGCTGAGACATTTTCTGTTTAGACTGAATAAAGAAAAAAAATACCTTCAACATATCTAATGTATTCGGAACAAAATCCACTCCTGTAGTAAATTATTTTTTGCTCTTTATACAGTTTAGGACATACAGCAACCAGCCCATTGGCTCTTGCAGTTACAGCAATACACTTGCCTAAAAATTTCTGCAGAAATAGTTTTTTTGGTAACACTTTATTTGAAGGGGGTTGAATAAGACTGTCATGACACTGTCATAAACATGACATAACACCTGTCATGCACATGAAAAAGCCTTCATGAATATTTATGACTGTTGTCATAAAGCGTCATTCGGTAAATTATGACACTTTTAATACAAAGTTGACATTATTCAAAATGTCTTTGTTATGACAACTTGCCATTAACCAATAAATCATTACTGATATAAATTTGTTATAAAAATATTACTGACTGCACTTTAAAAATTAGGTAACTTTATGTTATTAAAGGTAAAGTTTAAACAGTAATGATTTCTTTTTTTCTTTTTTTTATTATTATTGTTGCGTTTGTCATTATTGCAATCAACACCACAAAATATCATGATAATATGTAGAGGTGAGACTTTCCTAGAGCAGGAACAGGGAATCAGAGTTGAGGGGAAGATGGCTGCAGGGCAGTCCCTGATGATTGACTGGGTTGGTTTTGACCTAAATATATTCAGTAATTAGAACATCTCAAAGTCCAGATATAAATCCAGCTTAAAATATGTGGTAAAACTCCTTGAGACATACCCCAAAAGACTCCACCAGTAAGAATTGACTCAGGGCTTCTTAATATAAATACACACACAAAAAAAAAAAATTCAAAGAATTGAAAACTTTTGAAAACTCTGCTTTGTTTTGATTTGTTACATAAAATCCAAATAAATTCCATGAAAGTCTGTGGCAGCTTCTCCAGGTCTAATTACAAAGTGGGATTCAATGTTAGCCTTTCAGATCTAATGTTTGTCTTACGTTATTACTACGGTGCACTCGTGTGTCAGAACATATCACAAACTAACGCTAACAGCTGAGGTCTGATGACACGTGTCAGAACATGCTCTACAACTTGTCAATCTGCTGCAAATCAACAGTAGTGTCTCGGGACGCCGGTAGTGTTATGTACTGTAATCTCTTCTCAAGAAAGCAGCCGCTCCCAGCTGCGTTCTTGTCTCTTCGCACAGTCTGACACATAACCCAGCTGCTAACTTCCTTTTTTCTGCTCACAGTCACACAACACTTTAACTTTTTTTGAGTCAGTCTTTTTTTTTTTTGTTTCAGATGCTGAACAAAACAGTTTTGTTTAGTCTTATTTGTCTGCATTACCTTGTTTCTTTTGGTACATATATGAATCGAGTCAACTGTCTTTTTTTTTTTTTTTTTTTTTCTTTTTTGCTGGTTTTCAGATTATTTAATAATAAACATCTAAGTCCAGTTATAGTTATGACGTTATGAAGCTAACTTCATAACTCATTCTATTGTATATTTATTACAATAATTGTTGTTTTTATCCCCTTTTGTGCCATTTAACTAAAACAAACACGACTGATTAATCTGATCAAATAAAAGTAACTTCACCGACCACCTTCTTGTAGATATTTTTTGGACTCTTAAAACCATATCTCCTACCACAAACAGTAAGCAAATTAAGTTATGTGTTGTAAGTGCAAACAAAGTGTCTTTAACACAAATATAAATTGGGACAGTGAGGAAAACAGACTGGTTTTTGTACTCTAGTTGGGCTCAAACCAACCAAAACTGCAGACATATTTCTTACCAAACATGTATCAGCTCAGATGGGGCAGGATGTTCCTGTCAGAAGGATGTTTCATGTTGACCAAACATCAATTCCAGTTAGTGCCAACTATTGCCGTTGGCACCTACCAAGGGAGCATTACATATGCCAGGTTTCCTGCAATACGAGGACATTTCACTCCAACTAAACGTATTTTTTTAAACACCATTTTTCTTTGCACATATTGACACGACATTAATTCCTGCTTGCTAGGAAGTTTGCTACAGTCCACACATCACCTCGTACCCACCTTGGGGGAGATAAATTACAGACCAGGTGTCATTTAATATCCACCAAGGGCACATTTGCTATCAATCATGCAACATCTTTTATTGCTAGTGGTATCCTTTTAACTGTACGACTTCATACCCCCGAGGGGAACATTTCATGATAACTATATGTAAGTTTGTCAGTGTGAGCTGACCATATATCAGTTCACACCTGCCTGGAAGCCATTTCGTACCAACCCTTTATAACTTTGTGCCCAGATATCCAGGGGGATATTTTGTACCAACCATTTGTTAGTTCCTGCCTGCTTGAGGGATCTTTCCTACAAATCACTTGTCAATTCATTCCCACCAGGGAGACATTTGGTTGTTAATTGTGGAACATTTTTGCATCCCCAGCGGGATGTATCCTTTTGTCCATACATCATTTCATACCATCAGGGGGACATTTTGTACCAACCACCTATCAGTACAGACTGGTGCTATAAACCGTGTCAGCTGTGTGTCTCCACTTTAGCACACCTGAATCAAATAATTAGGTCATTTGCAGGACTCTTGACTGAAGAGGCTCTTCAGCCATTTGGTTCATGTGTGATGGACACCTAAGAGTTGCAGGACACTGGCCTCTGAAGATCGGAGTCTGGCGCCCGTGCGTCCAGATCCAGTCCTCTAGAGCTGGTGTCCTACGAGTTTTAGATGCGTCTCTGCTTCAGCGCCACTGTTGATGCAAGTGGTCCAACTACTGTACCTCAAAGTTCTGCAGAGTCCTGATAATAAACCATCAATCAATTCAGGTGTGACGAAGCAGAAAAAAGACTAAAACATGCATGAGACCGGTCCTTAAGGACTGACTTTGGACAAAACCACTGTTTACCAACCTTTCTTTGAAAAACCTGCCAGCTGGATGTTTCACACCCACCTCTTGTCACTTCCTACCCACCAGAGGATGATTTGTACCCTCAATGTATCACTATGTAGTCGTCAGACGACATTTTGTACCAACAAACGTGAGAGTTTGAGGCCTTGAAGAGGACCTTTGAATTTGACCTTGCATCAGTTCATACCTACTAGAGAGAGGTTTTGTACTAATCATACATCAGTTTGTACCTGTTAGGGAACATTTTGTCCCAACCACAAGTCACTTCATGCCTACGAGAAAACATTAGGTACCGACCGTATATCAGTTGGTGCATGGCAGAGGGATGTTTTGTAAAAACTGCTCATCAGTTCCACTCCAATAAGTTATGTCTAGAAGCATATCCAAGACACTCAACTGGCCCAACTGGGTATCAGAACCAATATTAAATGAACTAGTGGCTAAAAACAAGTTTATATGTAAAGTTTGATCAATTTTATATCCCTATTATTCACGAAATTTTTTTAAGTAAAGACTGGCATGGGATGGTTTAAGTAAACTGATATTAAATGGGTTTTTGTAGTTTTTGTTCATGTATGAAATGGAATAAATGATAACTTGTGCGTAGGAAATGCTGGCACAGAATAGCAAAGGGGCGCATTGGCTTGGAGTCATCATCCTGTCATTTCTCTCTGCATTAAAAATATTTCTGAATTAAACTGTTTTGACATGAGAGAAATATAATCCCGGGGTTTCTTTTCCTTTTGTCTTGCAGCACATTCCACCTCCTCTTCCTAGCAAGACCCCCCCGCCTCCTCCTCCCAAGACCACCAGGAAACAGGCCTCCATCGATTCAGGAATCGTACAGTAAACAAAGACACTGACAGAAAGACCAAACAGCACACTGACAACAAAACAAAAACATCAACAGTAAACGTTCCCACGGAAAAAGAGAAAGGGAAAAAGAAGGTTGCTTTCACCCACACATCCCTCGCTCCCCGTCCCAGCTTGACAAGATGAATACCTCACCGCCGCCCGCCCCCTCTTATCGTCCTTAAGTCTCTCCTTTAGTCTTTCCGTCTCCTGTTTGATGCCGTCTCCAGCAGGGAGCGCGTTTCACAGATGAATAGTCACTGAACTTGTAGATGCAGTCTACAACCGCCACTTTGCCACTTTGCGCTTTTTTTTTTTTGTTTTTTTTGTTTTTTGTTTTTTTTTATCTTGACATGAGATTGTGCTCAGACAAGATAAGCTGGGACCAGCAGCTTCTCAACACTGACCCACTGTCAATTGAATGAGAGCAAAAAGTTCATTAAAGCATTATTCCTGTCTCTGTTATTCATATTCACCCCCACTATGTACAGAGGTATGTATATATTATGTTATTTTATTTCAGGTCTCTTTGTACGTTTTTTGATCATGTCATTTTTTCTTTTTTTCTTTTTTTTTTTGTATTAACGCATCACTAGATTAGTGGCATTTATATATGAAACAAGAAAAGGGCTTGTAGGTTTGGATTGACAGGGATTTTGAAGGAACCTATCATGAATTTTATCGGTAAAATATCTGGAGTGCACATCCTGCTAACTCTTATTCCATATATTCGAGCATCATTGTTTAGACCATGTCCCTGATTGCTGTAACCTTGGATTTCAATAACACTGACTGTTTCCAGTTCACTACTGACATGACTTCTGAATAAACTTTCAAATGTATGTATTTTTAAAAAGGAGAGATGTCTTTCTCATTATCTGTGCCTACGTGGAGAGACGCCGAAAATAGATGTCTGCGCTTTCTGGAAGTAAAAAAAAAAAAAAAAAAAAAAAAGAAAAAGTAGCAGAACAGCCTGACGATCTTTATGTGCTCTCTCACTTTAACTGAACACTGAGTGGTAAATCTTTCTGCTTCCTTGACTGGCAGCTATCACAGCAGTTTCTGCATCAAACATGCATGAGCTCTGTTTTCAGAAACGTGCTACTCGAGTGAAAGTGGAGTTTCCACGTAGCTGAAAAAGCTCGAATCTTAAATTTGCTTCACCTTGAAAAATAATGGGGCAGTGTCTTTGCTACACCAAAGTTTTCTTTTTTATTATTAATGCTTTTCGATACTAAAAATCTCATTCAAAGCCACGGTTGAAGGTCAGGTAAAAAAAAAAAAAAAAAATGTTTTTTTAAAGCTTTTATTTTATTTTTCTTTTACATAACATGGCGTACAAGTCGGGCTCTCTTCATGCCATATTTAAGGAGAATTCATGCATAATTTGTGTGGTCCCCTATAGGAATTTGTGCAATGAGAAGTAGTTTGTTAATATTCGTATTTCTCTGAATTGAACAACCGTTTTACAAAGACGAGTATAAAGAAAATCAGAATCCAAGTCGAGATGAAGCGTTTCTGGTTCCACGTCACCTAAGGCCTTTTACTAAAGACGGCGCCAGGATCTCCTGCAGCTTCATCATCCTGACTGTCACGACAACGCGCTCTTTGAACTTTTTATCAGTCAACTCAGACGACATGACGAGAACCAGCACTTCTGGAGGTTTTTTTTTTTTTTTTGTTCCACTTGTGGCTGGAAGCTGCTGTAAAATTTTCTGAACCACCTTTGTACATTTGGTGTACGCATATGTGGGCCTTATTTTCTGTGTCACAAAACCAGCTGGTGGGACCTTTTTTGAAGTACTTGCCCCAAGTTGCTCCTGCTCTCCTGCTCTTGTATTCGGCTGACACTTTTTGAGTGGGTGTCTGCCTGAGGGGGGAAGAAACGCTCCGAATGTAGCATCCGTTGTTTGAAGGTGTTTTTATCTGCAGAAGATGTGGCGTTTTAAAGCTCTCTTGTCCTAATTAGGAACTCTGAGTGACACTTTTTCCCCTCTGGTTTTCTTTTTTTTTTTTTTTTTTCATACGAGACCACTTGTAGCTCTTAGTCTTTGTGAACGCATTTTGTCAGATAGTAAAATGCCTCATTATTGGTAGTTGGTAGTTCACTCTGATCAAAATGCACAGCCATGTGTAGTTTCTTCATATACACAGTATACCAATTACCAAAAGCAATAAATAAACAGCAAATCAATTGTCACTGTTTTTTTGTGTAGCTCAGGAGAAAAAATAAATGTAATCTTTATGTTATTCTGCACTTTACTGTACAAAGGGAAATTTCGATGCATCTTAGCACTACCTTGCTGCTTATGCTCGTTCCCGGTGAGCTGTTGGAACTTCATGACATGGTCAAGGTGGTTTTGTCCATTTTGAAAGTGCAGAAAGAAAATGAACCAAAACCAAATGAAGATGTGACATTTTTCTGCATCGTCTGGCTGATTGAACCGAGACGCCTGCACTATTCTAGTGCCAAACAACATTAGATATAGTCTGAAGACTGAAGCTTTGACAGGTGATGTACATTTGTCTTTGAAAAGGTGAGTTTCATGTTTTGTTTTTTCATAAAATGTTCATTTTAAATGTAGCTAGATAATGACGACTGTATGGATTTCTCTCGAGCTAAATTTTGAATTTAGCGACTGGGTTGTTTCAGAAATGCAAAACTAAATCTTACGTTTAACATCTCATTCTCTGGCATTATTTTGAATCCATTTATGACTTTTCATAATGAAAGTCTGATACTGTCATTTACTCATTGTGTTGTCTCACTTGAGAGGGATGGATGTATGGATGGATATTACTTTGTTAGACATGAAGAATGATAAATGCCTGTGACTTTCTGATCTTTTTTTGTATTATTTAAGCTATAAGGCATGTTCCTGTTTGATATTTAAGCAATATATTCTACAGATTGTCAAATTTAAACATTTTTGAAGAGGGAAAATAATTTTTTCCACAGCTCTGTGTTTGGAATTTGATGGAAATGATATTAAAAAGGAGCCGGGTGAAAGCAAAAGGAAACCCCGAGGTAAGAAATAGAAATGTTAAAAAGTTCATAGAATCCCTTAGAAAAATATACTTTGTTTTATAAATCTATGTTAAAAAGAATTAGAAATTAAAGTGTTAAGTTTTAAAATAATTTGCAAAATGTGTACAAAAAGTTTTTTTTTTGTTTTTTATTTTTTTTAAACTACAGATAACATCAAAATTTTCCTGGTGACAAAGATGGACATGAACTAAATGTGTAAATTTGATTCAAATATTTGTACTTTGGCTTATTCTTTCTGTTTGAATAAGTTAGTTGGTAGACTCTTCAACTTTGGCAGGTGATGGTTAAATATATTTTTATCGTTTTTATTATTATTATTATTATTACGCCACCGTGGGGTCAGAAGGGTCATGGTTGATGAGTTTTAAAGCTTCATTTCCTCCACAGTCATTTAAAGTTGTAGAACAATAAAAGTCAAAGCCCAGAGGCGCCCCATTCCTGCTTCTTAAACTACCTTATTGCATTTCAGCGACGTGTCCAGTCACTCCAATCTCTTTGAGAGGGAAATAAAAAGTTTCATCAGTGTTATAATTCACTTATCAAGAATACCCAGCACACTCCCCATATCTGGCTTTGCAATTGAAAAGGGATAAGGAGTGAAGCATTTCAGCTAGTGGTAATATTACATGGTTAACTGGCAGCTTTTTCAATAGGCTCTCTGTGATTTGTGCTCAGCCATTATGCTTTAGCCTCTCTCACTCCTTAAAGTGGAGGCGAAGGGGGAAAAAAAGCAGACTTAATTGAGAGGATTTCTAGAGACTTTGCTGGGAGGAGGGGCTCCTTCTCTTCAGCAGAAACGTATTTACAACGAACTCCATCCTCATCTCATTTGTCATTTCAGCCAGGGATATTGTGTGTGTGTATTTCTCTCCCTGTCCTCCGCGACACACTTTCATTTGCCGAGCGGCAGCAAGCGTGTGCGCTTCTCTTTAAATGTCTCTATCGCATAATAAAAGAGGACAACATTTCCATATATCAGCGTACCTGTCTGCTGTGTTTTTTTTTTTGTGTGGCTTTTTCCTCCCAAATGGAGTCTGGCTACAGACTCTTGTAATGCACTTTGTTAGCAGTTGCTTTTAAACTTTTCGATCTGGCAGACACTTGCAGGATGTACAGTGACGGCACAAAAGAATCACTCCGCACATTCTTTCGATTCTCGGGCTCGTGCTGCATTTGTGTGAGGCCCCTGTAATTTAAAGCTTTGTGGAGCTGACTCTTACTGCAGTGGCAAGTGTTTTTTTTTTTTTTTTTTTTTTTTTTTTTGGCTTCCCGCATTTTTTACTTTTTCCCCTTGAAATTTTTTTCTT